TTTGGGGCCCTTCCTCTCCCTCCCTCCTGCCTGGCTGACCCTGCAGCTTTGCTCGGTGCCCGCAGGCACGGCTTGTTTTAGGGCACCTGCGTCATCAAGGCTCAGAGGAGCGGGGCTGGATCGCCCCCCGCCAGCTGCCCCACGATAACGCAAGGGGTTGGTGCTTCGTACGCTGCAACTTGCTGGGGTTTGGAAAGGGCTTTGAGAAGTGATGAAGGATGGAGAATTCAGGTCTGCAAAGGAAGGAAGCCTCCGCAGGGTTTTGGGGTTTTTTTTAAATTGGTCCACATGGCTGATGCCCGAGAGGGACCCGCACACACGGTGCATGGTCCTCAGCCCCTCACTAGTCGGGCCGCGGTTTGATAACACTCCCGAGCAGGAGCAATACCTCTGTATCTGCAGCCTGGCCCGGCCCGAGGTCAGACCCCAGAGCAGAGGTTCTCCACCTCCATGGGCTCAAGGCAGCCTTGGAAAATGCCAGCTCTGAATATCCACTCATTTTTGACTACAGAAAAAACAGAGCAGTTCTTCTGCTGCAAAGACCTCAGTAAGCCCGCAACGGGGGTGAATGGTTTTGACGCGATGGATTCCTACGAGAACAGCCGTTCACCGGGTCGGACCACAGGTCCATCGTGCCCAGTCTCATGCTGCACAGCAGCAGAGGGAGCATGAACTGGGTCTGACCAGGGTTTTACCCTGTTCCTCTCTCACTTGCAGCCTCCTACACTTTAAGGTCTAGGACAGGGGTAGGCAACCCTCGGCATGGGTGCTAGCCTGTGGCACGTGAAGGCATTTTGCTTGGTACACGCGCCTCAGGGTGGACGGCAGGGAAGGGGCTGGGGCCGCGCTGCCGCAACAAGGATCGGCTCCCCTGCCATCTGCCCTGGCACGCCGACATCGTACAAATCGAGGTTGCGGGTGTTTTTGGCACTCCAGCCAAAAACATTGCCCCTGGTCTGGGCAGTTCTGAATTTATCTCGTGAATCCCGTCCGCACATCTAACTGTGCCCATATTGCGTGGCGTTGCCAGCTTTAGCTATTTTCCAGGGACCTGCAAAAGTGTTGCTAAGCCAAAGGCCCAAAGCCTGTTTGAGTCACCGTAGTGGGAACCTTGGCAGATGTGACAACTGGCTTGGTCAGCAAAGTAAAGGAAGCCATCGGACACAATTAAACAAAGCACGAGAGTGAAAGGACATAAGGGAAGACCATACATTAAATAATCCATATATATTGTATCATAGGAAAGTATGGGAAGGAGTGATGGATGTAACCAAATGCATTACCTGTTTTATTGCTATAATAGATATGTTTCTGTTAAGATGCTTAAATCAATTGTAGAAACAAAAACAGCCTTGTCAGAGAAGACCATAAAGTGAGAAGAAACAGGCCAGCGCTGAACAACCTTCCGCGTTGGGAAGGAAAGGAGATGAGAAACCCTCCCCCTTTCTTTCCTAAGGAGATAAATCCCAACTAATTGGGCACGTCTACACATGCATTAATGCACTTTAGGTAATGCGCATTGAATCTAGTACCTCCAGGGTGAGGTACTTAGCCTGTCTTAATGAGCGTTAACTAAAGAGCACGGTTTTAAAGTTGTGCTTAATGCACACTAGCCTATTTTAATGTGCATTTTAGTGATGCTTTAATGTGCATTAAAATAGGCTAATGCGCATTAAAGCACACGTGTAGATGCATCCATTGAGACCTTCCAAGTCCACAAGAGATCTGGTTCAGTCCAGTTCCAGCAGTTTCCGGGAAACAAAGATATTTCAACAAAACCAATCACAGATCATTTATTAGAATATTAAAACCAGCCATTTATACATATTGGACATAGGCTGGAAGGAGATTTGGAGAATTTAGCCAATTCCAGAAGACCTGCTGCCAGTCTGCATGCCAGCCTCCTCCCACCTCTCGAGCCCCCCAGCCGGTATAGGTGAGAATACAGATTGTGCTGTAGCGGGCAGCCAGATAGACTTTGGGATAAATATTTGTTTTCATGTTTTAAAGTGCAAGCAAATAAAAGGTTGGGCGGTAGACCTGTTTCTGCCTCTTACCAGTAGCCTACCCACAAGGTTCACAGTGGCACCCCTGAAAGGATCTCAAGGCACCCCTTGAAAGGGTTTCAGGGAGCTGTGGGTTGAGAATCGGGGAATTCCTGGCCCTCGTAATAATCTGCAGTGTGGGATCTGCAGAGCATGGCAGGGGCAAGAAGTGCTCTCGTGCTGCACTTGTAGCTAACACATGACGGGCAAGGGAAGCTCGTTAGTGCACTTTGCACTGCCCGGGGCTCTGCTTGCTTTTCCCCTGGACAGACAAACCGACAGACATTTGCAAACACTGATCCCGGGCGCTGAGCTGACAAGAGCCGAGTGGAAACCACAACTGCTCACGGACGAGGACACACGTGGCTTGCAAGGTTGCAGAATTGCACCCGTGGCCAGCCAGCTCCTGTTCCCAAGACTGGGCAATAGGGGGGGTTTGCGATTTCGGCGAGACCTTTCTGGAGGTCTCTACCCGGCCGCGCTGCTGTTAGCGAGCGCTGCAAGTTAAGCTGGAGGCCGACACGTGTCCTGTGAATCGGGAAGAGAACCCCCTTGCGAAAGGGGAAGGATGTAGATCACGCCGTCTTCAGGCACCTGCGTGGTGCTGGCTGGCATCCTGGGGCCCGCGCGGCAGCAGGCGTGCGGTGGCTGCCCTTCCCTGGAGGCAGGAGGGGCTTGGAAGGGGGTGTCAGTACAGAAGGGAGCAACGGGGGCAAATTGTTCCTTGCTGCATCCCTCATGCAGTTCAAAATGGCCTGTGCTGCAGGGAAAATGCCGGGCTGAGCGGGGATTAGTGGCTGTAACTATGGCTACTGCTCCTGTGTCCGCTGAGTTAGTTTTTCAAGCTTTCCTTTGGCAGGAGCTCGGTCACCTTTGCATCCTGGGCCCTCAAGTGGCCTCTCTGAGCACATTGCAATCTTCCCGGGGACATGCAATGCTCCTGGGATTTCAGCTTTATCCCCCGCAGGAGACACCATTCCTCTCTTAGTAGACATCATCCGCTTCTGGGGCTGCAGCGGCTCTCCTTGGATGCAGCTTTGTGCGCTCCCGGCTCAGGTGTCCTTTTCTCTGGGTTGCTATGTTGCTGGGATGGGATCTCGCCTCACCTCCTCGGGGATCTCCAAGGACACGAGCAATGATGTAGCTATAGAAACGAGAGAAACACTGGGTCCCCCCCGCCACACTGCAATGCCTTTGCTTCCGTCGCAGAACGTGGCGAGGCATGCGTCTCCCGCAGCGCGTGCCTGAGGTTGGGAAGGGGAAGGGAGGGATTGTCTCTCTGAAGCAGAGCTGGGGGAATAACGCAGCCTAACCCACCTGGGACCCTGGCCCTAGCACCTCCTAGACCAGGAAAGTCCCCAGGGGTCTTTTGGTGACCACAAGTGTCTGCAACATCACCCCAGCTCTGATTTAAAGAACAATCGTCGCGGCTCCCTGCAGCGCCAGGCTACACCCACCGGCTGTTGCCCCTTCCTGCATCTCCTGGGCTGCTGTGGAGGTCTCGCATCTGACTGCAGACCCTTTCTGATCCTCCTTACCGTAGAGGAGCTGCCAAGATCGCAGGCTGAGCTTCAGGCTGGGAGCCCAGAAGAGCTGTGAAATGTAACTCCTGTTTTCATTCCACAAATAACTTGCCATCTAGGCTTGAAACTTTGGGCCAGACTGCAGGGTGGCCTGCAGAGATGTCTGCGTGGAGGCTTGCACTTGGTGCGACACGTGGAGGACCCTAAATCACTGCTGCTGTCCAAACACCTCGGGTGTGTAGGAAAGGTCTGGCTTTCTTGCATACCTACTGGCCTCTGGCTGCTTTACCGCTCCTTCCAGGAAGAGCACGGACCGTCTGCAGACACTTCCTCAGCCTGACGAAGGGTGTTTGTGCCCAAAAGCTCACTAAGAAGAATTTTCCCAACTATTTGAGTTGGTCTAATAAAAGATGTCTGATTGACCCACGTCTAAGGACGTGTCTGTCTACGTCCTTAGACCAACGTGGCTACAACCTACACCCTAGGGCAGGTCTGAGCATTTCATTCCCTCCAGAGTAGCTGCTGCGCAGGGTCCTGGGACAATCTGCAGATGCCTCCTTGTCTCCTCTCCCCGGCTGTTCTTCCAGCATGGTGCACATCGAAGGAAGAGCCGGCAAATGCAGTTAGAGGTGGGTTAGTCGAACCGAACCTGTGGAAGCTGTGACCGGATAAGTTAAGGGAACTTGTGTTCAGTGACTGTCTCCTTGATGCGACGCAGCAGGCAGGGCTAATGCTGCTTTATTGGGACCCCCGTGCGTGCGATACACTCATTGATCCTGGTAGTGAAACGTTAACCTGTCCGCGAAGGCACTTGGCCTTTGCACTGGTGGGCTGAGGCTTGGGAGAGGACGGGGGAACCAAGTTTGGCTGTTTTCTAGGCAAAGATTTGGCCCAAGCGCTGTATTCTGACTGACGGCGCTTAGTGATGCTTGGGGCTTTAATGTCATTTTATCCTGGCGGTGTGTCCATGCCCTTGCTCCCTGGTGCCACGTCCCCTTGACGTTAGGATGCACACACTGCAGCCGCCGCAAACCTGCTGGCATTCGGCACATGCCCCCCTAGCGCTGCCTGTGCCTCCGCCGGGGTGAGCCGGCAGGCGGGGTGTGCTCACGTTGGGGCAGGGCTCCGCAGAGGAGCGCTCGGCCCGCTGCCTGTTCTCTGTTCTGTTTCCTTTTCATCCTCAAAGTCTGTGTGTCGGGATCCAGAGCTCCCGGCTCAACGTCCGCGCACGCGAGACTTGACTTAAACTTAAACGAGCATCTGACAAACGCTCCCCGAGTCCCCAGAGCTACTCCGTGCATTTGCACGAGCGCTGCTTCCTGCCACCCGACCCGTGTTCGTGCTCGTGCTCCCATCGCTCCCAGCAGCATGGGCGGGCTGCTGAGCGCCAGAGGTCTCTAATGCTCTCCCCTTCTGTCTCTTGCCTTCCTAGGGGACGTGCTGTTCCAGATGGCAGAAGTTCACAGGCAAATCCAGAACCAGCTGGAAGACATGGTAAGTGGCACCCAGCTTGCGGGCGGTTTCTGGAGGAGCCAACACCTGTGGGGAGCAGTAGGCAGATTTTCGGACCAGGCGGTGCCTCGGCTGGCTTGGCTTTAGCAGGAGAGGGGAGCGTGGTGCTGCAGAGAGCTTGCATGAAATGACCGCTCAGAGTAGAAACCTCCTGTCATAAACCTCAGGCTGAGCAAAGGACTATGCCCAGAGGCGGGTCAGAGGTGCACTGTGGGATGCCTTGAGAGGACTGGGTCACGTTTCATTGTCTGGGTGGAAGAACCAGCCACAAAGCCAGCGAGCATCTCAGGGAAGCCTCCAGGCCTGGGACCGAGGAGCCCAGCGGGCTCCGGTTCCTGTCCCTGCTTCGTTCTGCGTGTCCAGCTCCACGTTGACCCTCTCTCCGAGTGAGCTCCCATCTGTTTCTCTCCGTCCATCAGCCTTGCTTCCTTTATCCATCCAGACAATCATCCGCCTGCCTTCCCCTATCCAGTTGGCTGCCCTGATGCTAACCGGTCTCTCTCCGTGGCAGCTCCGCGACCCGGCCGTCCCCACGATTGCTCTTGCTCTGTCATCCGCTCCCACCAGCCCGTTGCTGTCTTGTCTGAGCGCTCCTCGGTTCGTGGTGCACAGGGCAGGGATCCCCTCTTCTGCTCCTCTCTGTGTGCTCGGTTTTGAGTCCAGGGCATCCACTGTGCGTTTCTCTTTTTGTTTGCAGCTGAAGTCCTTTCACAACGAGCTCCTCATACAACTGGAGCAGAAGGTTGAGCTGGACTCCCGGTACCTCAGTGTAAGTAAATCAAACCCTTGTTTAACCAGCACTTCCTGGCATCCTCATTGCTGCCCTGTTTCCTCCTCCATCAGGGTGGGGGAAAGGCTTGCACCCTTGCATGGCTCGTTCTGCTCACCTTTGCGTAGGTCCAGATACGGCCGCCAGGGTTAAAGCCCAGGCACCCAGCAGGCTCCTATTTAAATAATGGCCCTTTTGCAGCTTTTTAAGCAAAAACAATCCCCTCCTGCTGTCCTCTGCAAACCTGCAGGCTTCAGTGCTCTTCCTCCTGCCGTGCCCACCATGAGCTTTTCACACCCCGTCCCCATCGTGGCCTCCAGGCCAGCGGGTTCTGGGTATTGTAAGACGTGCGTTTCCCAATTTAGTCTGCAAGAACTGATACTAATTCAGTAACTATTGATTTGGATTCCAGTAGTGTTCGGAGCATGCTAGATGCTTTCCGATCGCCCAGTCAGCATGAAATCAAGTTTTCATTGCTTTTAGCGATTTCCATTCCTCACCTCTCTATCCTACTATGAAACCACGATGGAGACGGTATTTCCGCTCTGTGGGTTGTTGGGAACATGGTGCCCCCCACAGCTCTCAGAGGAAGAGGACCATGCATCTGCCTTTCAACATGCCCTGCAAACCCTGAGCCTGACGGGCCGCGCTGCCGCGAGGGCGTGATCTGTGCTCATCTGGTGCAGAGAACCTGGTTTCTGCTCTTCAGAGCTTTTCTGCTGTGCTCTTTCCAGGCTGCACTGAAAAAATACCAGACAGAGCAGCGGAGCAAAGGAGATGCGCTGGAGAAGTGCCAGGCAGAGCTGAAGAAACTTCGCAAGAAGAGCCAAGGGAGCAAAAACCCGCAGAAGTACACGGACAAGGAGCTGCAGGTAGGACTCTCGCCCTGCTTGCGGGCTTTGTCCAGTGTTGAGGATGCCCCCGAGGCTGCTTTTCCATAAGGCAGCTGTTTCGTGCCGCACACAACTTGCCCAGCTGCAGCAGCTCTTTAGGTGAAGAGCATTTTCCTGTCAGATACGAGTCCAGGGACCGTGACGCATGGGACTGGCAATTGTGGGGGCCTGGTTCCTGCTCCAGCCCCGTGACCCTGGCTGGGTTGCCTCCCTCTCTGTGCTCTCCCTAGATTAGGGAACGGTGCTTGACTTTGCAAAACCCTTTTTGCTCTGCAGCTTGTTTAATTAATTCTCTCTCCTTGAATTGACTGCAATCGCCTCTTTTTTTTTTTATTTATTGGTGACTGAACCAGGAAGATTTTCATCCTGGTGAAATTGCGTTGTGCTAGATACCTCTCCCTGTGGGTCTCCTTTCTGCGGAGATCTTCTCCAGGGCCTCTCCCTTTGCAATGCCCCTCCGTTTTCCCACTCCCCTTGGGTGTGACAGGATGGCAAGCGCAGGCTGGAGGGGTCCTCGTTGGAGACAGCAAATAACTTGACTAAGCAGTGACTTCTGCTTCAAGGATACTTGAAAACCCCTCACTGCTTTCTAATCAGATTTTGATTGCATCCTCCTGAGACTGCCACAGAGTCCCTAGATAGGCAGGCGAGCAGCTCGGCACAGCCTCAGTGAGGGGAGCGTGACATTTTGTCAGGTGTAGAGGCTCAAGCTTCTGGATTTCCAAGCAGGGAGAAAGCCCGGGAATAATGTCTGATTAAAATGCATCTGGCAAACGGTTCTGAAAGTTGCCGCTGATGCACGCAGCACCAGGCCTGACTGTGACAGAGCTGGGCAATGACTGTGGGCGTTAGTCTCCTGTGGATGCCAGTGACCCCAGATACAAACCTCACCTGCCCCCCGTCAGTCTGCAGCAAGTCGGAATAAGCAGCGCGTCCGTCTGCAAGCACGTGGTGGCCTAAAATGCTCTCTCTCCTTGTCCGGGCCTGTTCCCATCACCAAGGCCGTGGGGTAAACACAGCAGTCCTGACACGTTCCTGTTGCACGGGAGGGGTGTGGGGGGGAATTAGTGCATGGGCCAGAGGAGCTGCACAATCTTGCCTTTTGCAAGTGACCTTTTGCAGGAGCTGCCGCATTACCCCCGGGACTGACATTAGTCAAAGGTTACTTGAATGAGAAGTCACCCTTCCCAACCGGTCCCCGAGCACGGATGACAACTCCCCAACCCAGCTCTGTTGAAGGGCTCTGTACCGAAAAGCACGTGCAAAGTAATCAGCAGATAATTAGAGTGAAAGTTATGCAGGGGAAGTGACATTTCCAATTGTACCGAAATCCAGGGAGCAAATTACTCTTTTGGCAGCGCGGATCAGAGCGCTCACTGAAGGGGAACGACGGAGGTGTTTATCAGCAGTCCCATCTCCAGCCTCCGGAAGGGAGACTCGGTTTTATTTTGGGTTTTATACTGCTGTGTGTTGAGCTCTTATGTCTCTGCGCCCTCTAAACGCCTAGGGCTGTCCAGGAACGATTGGTACAAGTCAAATAAGGTTTGCGCAGCTCCTTCCGAGTCGGTGGGGGCACTAAAACATACTTCGGGGTCCTGTCTGCCCAGCAAAAAGACCTACCTGATTGTGCATCCAAGTGCCTGTTTCTTTGTAGGAGGCAAGGATTCCTTAGGGGGCTGGCTTTTGTTGGACCGGCTGTGTAGTCGGGATAGAGTTAGGCAAGCTTTCGAATGCAAGGCTTTCTTCATCAGGTCCGATCAGAAAAACACAGCATAGCAAAGGGCACTCGTACACGTGACGGTTTGCCCATGTGCACGGCAGTGGGGGGGAAAGGAGAGACGTTCATTCTTCCTTATCATTAGCTGAAAGAAAGAGAATTGCAGACCAGTGGGCACCGGTACCTGTAGGAAATGCAAGGTATGGGGATCAGCGATGCTGAACAGGTGAGGGGGGCTACAGCATCTCCCGACTAGCTGGGGAGTGGGCCTTGCCCCGCCTTGGAAGGCGTTTCGCCCTTCGCCCAGGGTGCCTACCTGGGTTAGTCCATATGGATTCTCCCCAGCTCTTTCCCATCTGTGCCTTTTACCACAGGCTACAGGGAGGTAGTGACTGCTCGTCGCAGAGCATTTGATGTTCCTGCCACGAGCTGACAGATACATGGGCTCGCTCCGTAGGCGGTGCTTGCTCGGGTGGAGGGGAAGAGGATCAGTCTCTGACTCTCTTTATCTTTCCAGAGTAGGCATTTAGGAAGTGCTTATCTCTTTGAAAAAGCCGTATGATGGCTTGTAGGCTTAAAAAGAGCCGTGAAAACTGCTCAATGGCTGGATTTGTCTGGATTAAAATAAAAAGTTGCCATTGCTGAATTGGGCCAAGTGCTGTGTCCCCTCTGCTCGGGGCTGGCCTGTATGTCGGTGTTGCAGGTCTGCAGCAGACAGGAAGGAACGACACACCCTTTATGGCAACACTTGCCATTATGTCACTTTTATTTCTGGTGTATTTGAGAGCAGGGGTTTTGGCCAGTCGGTAAAACTGCTCCGCGTGGCGGTGGCAGGGGACCCCGAAGCGTCCAAGGCTCAGCTGGACTCTTGTTCTAAACCCCTATTGCAAAATGTTGGAAGACAAACTTTTCAGCTGAGGCAGCTTTTTAAGACAAACGCTTTGGAAGGAAGGGAGAGGCTTTGTTTCGTGGCTAGCAGAAACAGCCGTGCGAGACTGGCTTGCAAATTCGAAGTGGAGCCGGGGGGACGGCGTCAGCACAACGGTCGGCTCTGTGCTCCCCGGGGCATGCGAGCCATTGCAGAGGCGCGGCCTGCCCGCTACGGCCATCCTCTTCCTGCGTCTTGACCTTTCTCCTTGTCCCCCGCCCAGAACATTTCCCCTTCTCTTGTTTTGATTCTTGCCTTGGCTCAGCACGCAGGCTGGCCCTGCCAGGAACGGGGCTTCACCACCCGTCGGGGTGCATAGCGTCTGCAGCTCCGCTCTTCTGACTTCCAGCATCTAAAGAGCAGCTGGTCAGAGGGGGAAGCCTCTTGCCTGGGGCACGGAGAACGGGATATCTTGCTGCCTTCCCTGGAAACAGGCTTTAAGGCCAGCTCAGGATCCTTGGCTGAGCGGCGGCAGTCACGTGCACGTTCAGTCTTGTTCCATCAGGCGACGAGCTCTCTGACTGCTCGCTCCATATGGGAAGCTAGCGAGCTGCGCCTTTCTCAGCAAGGGCATTAGCATATGTAGGAGAGGAGTTGGGATTGGCATGGTGCCACCTTTGTGGTGGCCTTGTAACACCACGGCCATCCACCTGGCTTGTAACCAGGATGCCAAAAGCTCTTCCCAGTACCGGCAGCAACCGGAGCCGAGCCTCCTTGAGCCCGCATTTGAAAAGGAGACCCGTCACACAAGAGCTGGACCCTTGGAGGTTATCCTCTCTAATAGCGGGAGAAGTGGCTGCCAGCAAGAACGTCCTGGTGGCTAGAGAAAATTGATTCTGTTCAATAAAAAAAGGAAATCTGCTTTTGCTTTGAAGACTGGTGCACTTTTAAGACATTGCAGCACTTTGCAAGTGCCTGTTGAACGGTCATCGGGATTCAGATGCTCTGCCATCTACTGCCGCCTTTCTTGAGAGCTGCGGTAAACGTGACGGCTCTTTTATGCGGGTTCGTTGTCTGCTAAATTGCAGCATTTTCTTGTTGTCGGGAAGTAAAACCCAAGTTTCGAATCTGGGCCCCGGCCGGAGGGGACAAGAGGATGCTCTTTAAATGGGCTCTGAACGTGTTGCTTTCTTCCTTCATCCCCCACCACCCCAACCGTCCCAGGAGCTCCAGCTCCCTCTTCCCTTAGCCCAGCCTTGCTCTGCCATGTCTAGACAATGGGAACCCTGAGGGCTACCCTGTGGTGGGACAAGGGGCTTGCTTGGACCAGGATGCTACGTGGGCTGGTTTATCTCCGAAAGGTGTGAGAGATCCCTTGCTGCGTCCGATTTAGCAGGTGGGGAGGCATTCAGAGCTCAGCAGGAGCGTCCCAAGGGAGATGATTTGTTCGCAAAGGGAAAGGCCTGTGGCTGAGACCCATCAGGCGCCCCACTTAAACTTGCCCAGCTGAACATGCAATTGCTTTGCTCAGGTACAAAGAGCAACACCCGCTCCCAAGCAAACCTAACCCAAATCAGCAAAGCCCCTCGTGCGCGACCCTCGGGTGCCGGTGAAGAGCTAATCCAGATCTGTTCTGTCCCTTTTGGGTCTGGAAAGCTCCAGCTGCAGCATGAACACCCGAACACACTTGTCTTTCTCTGTGTTAACTAGATGAAGGAGGGACTCTAAAGATGGATGTGAGCAAACCATGCTAGTACTCGCAGTAGAAAGAGCTCTGCTTCCACGTGACGGTGCCTATGAGCAGCTCTTAACGCGCTTAGTCCATGATCTCTCCTGCTAGCGCTTGACGGTATTTAATACATTGCAGTGGCCGTTTGCGAGTGTCTAAATGCTCTACAGTGTCTTTGCTTCGGGCCTTGAGATTGGGTCTGGTGTAGCGAGGTTTCGGGCCACTGACTCTCCCCGTCTGGCCTGCAGCTATGAGCTGCTGTTACCAAGTCCTGTGCCCGCTTAGCCCGGCTCCTCACTGCTCACGGCTCGGGTATAAGTGAGGACCAAGGGTTTGATCGGAGGGAGACGACCAAGTGGCTCCGACATCCCTTAGCAAAGGGATCTCTCTTTTCGGGGGTCTTGGCACGTATTGGAAGTCAGAAGGACAAGCCAGTTCTGTGCACTGCTTCATGGATTGTATTAGGAAGGCTAAGCAAGCAATATTCAGATTAAACAAACATACCTGAGCCTCACCGAACAAATTACAGCCGAACCCCTATCACATCCTGGCCACAGCTGAGACTGAATTAGCGGGTTAACGATGAAGTCAGTTTGTGAAAGCCGCCCGTTTAATGCAGCAGGTAATGGGCTCACCGGGATGATGCAAGAGAGCTTGCTGCTCAT